GCATGACTGAAAATGAGAAGAAACCACTGCAAACATCCATTAATAGTCAGAATGTGGGTTGTACAAACTATAAACCTAGGAAAATTGGAAGCAGTCAAAAGTGAAATGGAGCATGAAAAGATTGATATCTAACCATTAGTGAGCTGAACTGGACTGATATTGGATATTTTGCATTAGATAATCATACCATCTACTATGTTGGGAATGACAAATTGTAGAGAAATAGCATTGCATTGATCATTTTAGAAAAATTTCAAGGTTTATCCTGAAGTACAATGCTGTGAGGATACAATATGTATAAAAGGAAGACCAGTTACCATGACCGTTATTAAAATTTACATACCAATCACTAATGCCAAAGATGAGGAAATTGAGGATATTTACCAACTTTTGCAGTTTGAAATGAATTAAACATACAATGAAGGTGCATTGATAATTACTGGTGATTGGCATATGAAAAGTAGGAAATCAAAGATGGATCAGCAGTTGAAAAAATGCCTTGGTAACAGAACTGACACCTGAGGTCGCATGATTCAACTTTGCAAAACCAACAACTTATTCATTTCAATAGCAGCATAAATGGTGACTGTACACATGCAACTTGTTGGATGGAATAAATAGGAACCAAATCAACTACATCTGTGGAAAGAGGTGATGGCCAAGCTCAGTACATTAGTCAAAATAAGTTGAGGAGTTTCCTACTCAACAGAAGATCAAGTTAAAGCTGTAGTTGTTGTTAAGTACTGTTGAGTTGGTTCCAACTCATAGTGACACTGTATGTGCCACAAGAATATGAAAACAAGTCCATGAGAGTGAAAATACAACCTTGAATATAGCACACCTGAATTTAAAGACCATCTCAAGAATGGATTTGATGCAATGAATACTATTGACAGAAGACCAAATAAGCTGTGGGATGACCACAGATACATCAGACATGAAGAAACTAAAACATCATTACAAAGACAGGAAAGAAAGAAAAGACCAAAATCAAGCTCAGGAGAGAATTTGAAACTTTGTTTAGAATATACAGAAGCCATGGAAGAAATTATGTCATAAAAGAACTGAAGAGATTTTAAAGGGTGGTTCGAGAAGACCAAGTATTATATTGAAATGTACAAAAACCTACATTTAGAATAGCAAACCTTGGAATTTCTCAAGCTTAAAGATTAAAGAAAAAATTGCAAGCCTTCAGTTTCAATATTGAAGGAGTTATGAACAAAATATTGAGTAATTGAAGAAGCATCAAAAAAAGATAGAAGGAATACAGAGTCACTATACTGAAAAGTCACTAGTCTGTCAGGCTGTCATACTGTGATGTTTGTATGTCATACTGTGATATTTGCATGGCTTAACATGCCGGGAAGGGAAAATTCAAGAGGAATGGCATAACATTCATTATCATCATGAACATTTCAAAATCTGTCTTGAAGTGCAACACTGTCTGTGACAGGATAATATCTATCCGCCTACAAG